TTAATTATCTCACATCATAGCAATCAACGAAAAATTATGCAAAATATTTTTGATCTGATAAAAGTATTCAGATAAGTACAATTCAAATTGTTTTCCGCACACTTTGACTTACGTAAAGAGAGATGAAAATTGAATTAGGAAGTATTCCCTGTGGATAAACTCGAATTCAAACTGACAAGTACAAGAGTACATCAGTTAGTAAAAAAACTTGACATGCATCATTACAAAAATATGTTTTATCTGCAAAAGCTTTCGTTTTTCTTCAGATTAATACTTAAAAGTTCTGCTGTTTGAGTGTCATTCAGGAACTTCACATTTTGTTTGTGGTTTCAATTTTTTTAAATATAGTTATTTCTACCACATAATTTTACTGTCTATGTTGTATTTCATTCAGTGTTACCATATCTTCAAAATTGCAATTTTAATTTGCTACCCACAAATTTTGTCATTTATTTATCATTTACTTATCATTTTTTGTAACAGTTTTCGTTATTTTTTGTACACAAATTATTGGTTTCTGTTTCACACAAATTATTAATAATATCATTATCAGTACTATTACTATTATCATTGTTGTTATTATTATTTTTTATTACTATTGCTATTATTATTACCATTATTATTGCTATTAATATCATTATTATTACTCCTTCTGTGCATGAGTAATTCTAATATTTATTTCGGGTAACGGTAAGTTATAAGATTTCCATTACTATTTGTAAATGATATGTAAACGTCAAATGTATGCATGCCATTATTTTTGTTAATAATATAAATTTAAAAATTATTGAGTTTTTAATTGTCAGGACTTGTTTCGAAACCACGTGTTTCTGCCCGCGACGGTTATTTATCTGTGGAATGGGTCAGTCAAGGAATCGGTCAAGGTGTTTTCGGATATCGAGTGCAGTATCGAACTGATCATACCGGCTGGACTCCTTATGGGTAAGTTTTTTGCGACGACATATAGAACATATGAATATTAAGCTATCTTAGAATTGTTAATCTACTTCAAATTTTCATGTCAAATATATCTGGAGAGTTATTTTTCTGTCACAAAAATAGCACCTATTTATTTTTTCCAGGCAGATAGTGCCATACGTAGGAGATAATAAACTTTATATGCAACAAGTCACGGGACTACAACAAGGCAGCACTTATCACTTACACATCCAAGTCCTTGATCGCAATTCTTACGTTATGTATACTAGCCCAGAAGTATCAGCGAGAACTGTTTGTTCTGGTATTATTTTTGAGCAGAAAAGTAGAAATTTTCGTGGAACCGTTATTTTTCAAAGAGCGTTTTTGTTCTCACTTGTATTCTTTTTATTTTAGCAAGAACAAATTGTTTTTGTATCGCACATAACTTGTTATTTATTACCATTATTTTATTTTTCCACTTATTACAGTTTGCTTGTCGGACTAAATAAAAATATGAAATTTCCTTAAGATATTAAAAAAGTTGTAGTTTTGTTAATTCTGATATAACTTTCAATAAATGCTATGTTTAGCACCAACTCATCCGCCATCACATTTGCAAGTGCAAGCTGCTGACCCACATCACATTCGAGCAAGCTGGATGCAACCGCCACAAAGTACATGGCAGTGTAATGATATACAGATCGAGATTGAGGTAACGGAACCATCTGGAATCCAACCAGTTCTCCTAAATGGACGCCAAACAACATACGTGTTCGATTCAGAAGCTAATCAGCCATGGTCAATCCGAATTCGTTCAAAAAACTCAGCGGGTGCATCAGCATGGACACAAATAGCATCTGCTCGTACGCCACCCGTTGCTGAACTGATTATTGGACCAGTAGTCAGCTATAGACATGGAATTCCATTACTTACATGGACTAGTAAAGAACAAATAGAGGATCTAGTTCGAGCATATCAAATTGATTATCGAACATCAGAAGACCTGCCTTGGCAGCAATATCAAGTACAGGTGTGATATCTGATTACTTCCCTTATAATATACAGTCTCTATCTAATTTAAGATCATGATATGAAATTGATTGTAATGATTTTATCTGCTTTGATTTAGGTGCCATTCACAGGCTGGCAAAGACCGTACAGCATTGATCTAAATGGATTACCTTCTGGACATAATTATCAAATTCGAGTTCGTGCAATGGATGCAAACAATGGTATTGCTTACACATCAGCAGTTGTTAACGTTAAAACTGAAATTAAATGTTCTGCACCACGTCGAGTGCCATTCGATGTACAAGCAACATCTCTTGGACCTACACAAGTTCGCGTGTCCTGGAGGGTAAGTTTGTGTCTCCTTTCTCTTTGTCTTAAAGTCCAAGTTTATTCTGATAGAACACTGCCACTACAATATTGAACTATGTCCATTTAAGTTGTGAATGTCATCCTTTAATTTATAGATAATAATTTTATAGGTTGCAGAATGACTTTATGCATATATAATGAAAGTGCACAAATTGTATTTGCAGTAAGGGACTAATGACAAGTTATTGTAGACACTACATGAATCGGAATGGAACTGCAATCGTTTATGGTACATTGTCAAATACAGTACACTTCACAATCAAGGCTTCAAGAATCTAACGCACGGTGAAAATTATGTGATTTTTGATTCAGAGCCATTCACACAGTGGACTTTCGAAGTTCAAGCTGCTAATCCATCTGGTGAAACGCAGTGGTCACGTCCAGTTACAGTTCAGACTGAGGGAACTGGTAAGATTTGCAAAGAATAGTATCATTAAGATTAATCTCGAATTTCAATTTGGCAAGAAGGAAAAAGTTGCATTTTGTTTCAAACTATTGCACATGCAATTTTAAAAATACTGAATTAAAGTAAGTGTCGTAATTCTGTAGCACCTGGGCCAGTTTCCGATTTCCGAATCTATTCGCAGTCATCAGATACACTTCAGCTTTCTTGGAGGCAACCGAAAAATCCAAATGGACGAATTACTGGCTATGAAATTACCTATCAACTACTATCAAAGTCAATTGTTATTCCTTCATAAAATCCCACTCTTTTAATATTTTTAAATGTCTTTTCTGGTTATAATAAATTTTATTCAATCATCGTAAATTACTTGAGAAAATACGGCTTTGTTGTTGTTTTAGAGGTATGTGCGGTCAGATTTCTGAAAAACCTGTAACTATTACTACTGAAACGCCTTCTTTCACTCTCAAAAGCCTATCTTCACATTCCAAATATCTTATTTCTGTTGCGGCAAAAACAAACATTGCTGGTGAGACTTTTATAAAAAATTTTTTTGCAGTTTTAGAATAGAAATAATATTCCCTTAGTTATGATACTGAATAACATTTTCCGTAAGTACAGTAGCAAAATTACTGCTTATGAAAATCTTACTAGAAATTGATATGATCTTTAAAAATTTTGAATTTTCATGCGTTTAATTAATCTTTTTGAATCGATTGCAGATATTTTTGGATGATCTCAAGCAATAAACTGAATTTTTTTGTCTGTAAAAATTTTGCAAAACAGCATAAATTTTGAAGTTCGCAATCCATGCAATCCATTAAGACCAATTTGCCTCATTTAGCATAATTTTTTAAGGAAATAGTAATAAAGGTAAAAGTTTTCAGGAGAGCGTATAAGTCAAGAAGTACAGACTGAAGATGCACCACCAACTGGCACTCCAATTCATATTCGTATAACAAATGTTTTGGCGAAGGAGGTTGATTTAGTATGGCAAGCACCAGAATGTTTACAAACAAATGGTGAAATTACGGAATATGAATATGAATTAAGACTTATAGACCAGTATAATAAAGCAGCGTGGGCAACAGGCTCTAAAAAACAAATTGTCAGAGGTACTAAAGCAAAAATTACTGGTTTGTCAGCGTATACAAGGTATTCAGTACGAATGAGAGCATTCACTCGAAAAGGACCAGGACCCTGGTCAGTACCAGTTCAATTCCAAACTGCAGCTGCACCTGACGTAATCTTTTATTTATTGCACATTAATGCTTGCAACATGGAATCGAGATATTTTATTTTTATGAAAAACAAGTTTGTCTTATTTTAGATTCCAGCACCACCAATGGTTCGCGTTTACAGTACTGGATCAGATAATGCAGATTTGATTTGGCAAGAGCCTTATCCATTAACAGAATCTATTGACAAATACAAGTGTAAGTATGCAGTGGCTGGTACCAAACAATATCAGGAACGTTTTTTTCCCGCTTACAATCCTTGTGCTCATGAAATTATACGTATGAGACAGCTGCCACCACCTCAAAGTGGTACCAAATTTCATTGTGGAAAAATTGATGGACTGCAACCTGAAAAAGAGTACACATTCATGGTTAGATATTTTATATGTTTAATAAGTAGCAAAATTATTACTAAGATTTTCCACAGATAATTTGACAAAATTACAGGTATCAGCTGGTGATCGAAGTGGCACCTGGTCTCCATGGAGTGAACCTCAACTTGGTCATATAAGTGTAAGTCCGGTTCAAGTGAACTCCTTGAAAAAGTTAGATGGGACAGCAAATAGCATCCTCATTGGATGGAACGTACGCGTTACTGACGTAGCTCGTGTTGTCGGCTATCGAATTCATGTCACACCTGTAGGTCAATATGACGCAAGACCGTTAACGTTTTCAGTGGATCGTTCCACATCCCAGTATAACATTGATAATCTCTTAGCAAATACACGATACAACATAACAGTTGATGCCACAACAGATGGCATCAATTATCATCCAGGTATTGGAATTGAAGCAAGCACAGATTCTGCACCACTAACTGGTATTCTGACTGCACCACGAGTTATTGAAGAACAAGCTAATTCTGTAACGTTGGAATGGAATACACCAAGTGGTCACTTAGGCAGTTTCGTGATTGAATATCGCCTTGGTAATGGGGCGTGGCAACATTATTCTCGACGAGTTGCCGCACATCCCGGACGGCGTGTCTACACTGCGCAGGTTGATCAGGTAATTTTTGAAAAATTCATCTGTGTTAGTGTTAATGCCGACTTGAATAATCTACTCTTTTCTTTCAACTTAGTAATCAAATAAATTTAGGATAAATTTTTGTAGGACTAAAATGATTTACAAAAAATTGATTGGAAAAAATTAAATCATATTTTAAATGACTGTTACCTACTGCTGCACTTTTGTGACTTCAGCTTCCAACAAACAGTGTGGTAGATCTTCGAATACGTGTAGTGTCGCCTCAAAACGAACAGTCTGCTCCAAGTCCAGAAGTTCGAGCTCGAACTCGTTGTTCAGCACCACCTTCTCCACCTCAAGCTATTCGTGTAGATGCTCCCTCCACCAGCGAAGTTAGAGTTTCTTGGGCTCGTCCAGCTAAAGATACATGGCAATGTGATCAGCTGAATTATGACATTTCTACACGTGTAAGTGGACAAAAAGAACGCATAGTATCAATACCTGGTGATCAAACTGAATATACTTTTCCTGCTGATGCAAACAGTCGATGGACAGTAAAAGTAAGAAGCAGTAATCAGGTAGGAACAAGTCCATGGAGCTCTGAACAAACCATAACCACTAAGCAAGGAATTCCTGGCCCGGTACGTGATTTACGTTTACGTGCTAAGAGTCCAAATGAAGTACTGGTACAGTGGCTTGCACCGTTGGTACAACGTGGCACAATAGTCGGTTACGACATTAGTTACCGTTTAAAGCACCGATTAGCATGTCCAGATGAAGAACCGCGCGATGTCAGTCGTGATTTTGTCACAGTTTATAATCATAAAGATTTGGAGTATACACTGACAGGATTGTTACCCTTTTCACTATATCAAGTACGTGTACGTGCACGCACTACGGAATTAGGTCTCGAGGAAATGAAGGAAATCGCAACTGAGCAGCAACCTCCCAGTGCACCACCATTAAATTTGCAATTGAGTTATGCACTAGAACGTTCCATCAGCTTTCAATGGGAACCTGTAGAATGCTCCCAACGTCACGGACATATTGTAAATTACGAATATGAAATTCAAGGGCAGGATGATTGGGCAAAATTAGAACGCCAAATCGCAAACACTACAGATACAAAAGTTAATATTGAAGGCTTAACGCCGTTTACCAAGTACATCATGCGTGTAAAAGCTTACAATAGTATTGGTGGTGGTCCCAACACAGAGAATCTAGATGCTATGACCGCTAAAGCAAATGCACCTTTACCACCGCAAGATTTGGTTGTTGCTCAGGAAGGAACTGATTATTTTATGATTTCTTGGTTACCACCCTATCCACCATATGGACCTCATGATAAGTACAAAATTCAATATCAACTTTTAAATGATAATCGTTGGACTGAAATCGAAAAATACACTAAGGATCGTTTATTGCGATGTCCAGCTGAAAGTCCTCGGCATTGCTTTAATGTCACTGGTCTGCCAAGTGGATCACAGTTTCGAGTTCAGGTTGCTGCTCACATAGAAGATGGTTCTTACGGTCCATGGAGCACTGTGACTATTGCTAACACATTACAAATTCTTCCAGATGCACCACGTGCGATTGAATTAGTTGAAAAAACGGATAGCTCACTGCATATACGTTGGATTCCACCATCTGATCCTCTTGGACAAATTACGCAATACAAAGTGGGTATTGTTTCATTGGATGATCCATATGATCATCAGAAGACTTTTCTCGTAGATCATCCAATGTTACAGCACATACTGACTAATTTAAGACCTGAAACTTCATATAATATCAGCATTTCGGCAGGTACCAAACGTGGTTTTGGTCCCATTGCTTGGACTCGGTATTCTACTGATCCTTTTAAAGTACCAGCAGTCTTATTCCCTCCACAAGTTACAACAAATGGCTCTGATGCATTGAATGTACAGTGGAATGGTATTTTGGATACAAAAAACCAAATACATGGATATATTATTGAATTTCGGTCTAGCGACAATCCAACATTTACAGAATATGATGGAATTGTTGAGCACGACGTCAATCGAAGAAACTATAAACAGCGACTGTCTTTATTAGATTCTGATACTCTATATTTCATACGTATCAAAGTGGTTGATAGAAAGCAGCGTGTCAGTTCACCAAGTCCAGAAGGCAGTGCAAGAACTGGCTGTGCTCGTCAGTTTTTTCTTCAGCTTTAAGTTTCAAATTGTCATTAAATTATGCATCATCTTTGAATTACCAAACCTACCGTTCAATTTTCTGTCTAGATAAAAAAGCAAATTTTGATCTGAAAAATACTTTGATTAAAAATGAAATGGCTTTTTAGCACCTCTCGCTCCACCATCAAATGTGAATGCTTTCGCACCATCACCTCATCAGGTGCACATCAATTGGGAACCACCAATTCAGTCTTCCTGGCAGTGTTCAAATATTCGTTATAAGGTTGAGTACATAAACGGTTCCTCTCCACATCGACAAATTGATGTGCCTAGGTAGTATGCATATTACTCTCTTTCAATATCAGTATTCTAATTAAAACCATAATGTCTTAATTAAGAAGTATAATGTCCCCAAACGCAGAAGTGTTATATGTAAGTTAAAAAGTTAGTAAAAAAAAATAAAAAGTACTGCAAAAATGAAAAATATTTGCATAAAAGTGTAAATATAGTCAAAATAAAAGTGATGAATTAAGTTAAAGACGTACTAGTTAAAAGGTCAATTTGTAGTGGAGTGACTGACTGGGCGTTAGATGCAACTCCAAATACTTTCTGGCGCTTAAGAGTGCGAGTTGAAAATGAAGCAGGTGCTTCAGAATGGAGTAAGGAAGTCTCTATTACTACTGCTGAAGGTAAAAACTTATTTTGCTCAGTAATAATCTGAACTTACCAGTTTTTAAATTAAACAACAAGAAATTGCGTTAACAACTTTGATTGATAGCCTTTTGTCAAATTTCAAGTAGAAAAATTAGCACAGTGAAACTTTGCTGGAAACACCAAATTTTGAGTACGCATTTGTAAAATAACAGTTCACATTTATCAACTAGGATTGATTAGCTATCTTTCTATCTCTTATATATGTTAAAAGTTTGTACTGATTTCGCGTAAGTCCAATCAGTTTCAGTGAATTATATTTCAGACCACATTGGTTCAAAATTTTGAAAATAGGAGCTTTCAAACATATACAAGTTTAGAAAAGTGAGCACAGCTATTTTCAGGTGCTCCAAGTGCAGTAGAAAATCTTGATGGCCAAGCACATGGACCAGAAGCTGCTACAATAACCTGGCGACAACCTTTACAGCCGAATGGACAAATTTCAGGCTACACTTTGGTCTACAAGTTGAAATCTCGGGGTGAATGCGGTCCACGTTCTGCACAACCTATCACGCTCAATACTCAAAATGAAGAAATGACGTTGCAAGGATTGTTACCTGATTCCACTTATGATGTCCACGTGACTGCACACACTTCTCAAGTTGGACCTCAATCTAATATCATCACTGTCACAACTGAAGAAGCCGGTATTGCTTTTCCTTAGCTTGTAAATTGAATGAAATGCAAAAGAAAAATGCAAAAAATTAAACTTCAGACTTTGAAATTTAAGAGTTTGATATTGAATGAAAAAGAAATTGCAATGATGCTCAATGATTTTAATAATTAATAGTACTGCATTTTAGATTATTTTTGGAAAATTAAATAATTGCTGCATCAATCTTGTGTATTTACAAATTGATTTAGTTGCTGATTATCATACTAGCAGATCTGAAATGACGATTTTTGTAGCATATTTATTTCCAGTTCCTACTGGTCCTCCTTTGAATCCACGAGTAAGTTTCGTAACGCAAGCACGTGGCGATTTTTTGTGGAATGAGCCAGATTGTGAACTTCGAAATGGTAAAATAACTGGCTACCAATGGCAGTTAGAAAGTTTAGATCAGTGGGGAGAGAATAAAACAGGTCATAGCGACTCGCAACGTGTATCATTCAGTGATCTGATTCCGTACACCAAATATCGTGTACGAGTATCCGCTGAGAATGCTGTTGGTAGTGGTCCCTGGTCAGATTGGGTCTCATTTCGAACACAACCTTCCGGTAATTTAAATTTGTTCGTAGCTTGATTTATATGATGAAATAGAATGCGTCAGCTGAATCCATTATCAGATTTATAGAGTGATTTATTGAATAATTGAAAGCAAGAGATATGAGATTAAAATCTGGTACTAATTATGATCCTACCATAATTAAACAAAAATTAATTTGAGAAAAATCAATTATAGCGCCTCCGTCACCAACGGATTTGATTGAGGAGGAGTCATTCCCTCATGCCATTGAAATCTCATTTTTGCCACCCTCACCTCCTCATGGAGTTCTTAACGAATACCGGATAAGACATACACCATCTGATCAGGTCAAATTTAGCTTTGACAACTAGCAGTTTGTAATTTAGAGTTTTTTGGGTCGATCTAAAATATGCCAAGTCACCATGATGCATTGGGACTAATTACAAGCATTAGTTGCAAAAAGATAATGATTATAGAATTTTTGAACTTGAAATAAATATTTTGCCAAACTTTAGTGATATTCATAATTTGCACACAATTGGAAATAATAGTTTGATATTGACAATCTTTTTGCAGTAGAATAAACTAGTCAAGTTTAGAACTGAAATAATAAAATTTAAGATGTTTTTTGAAAGATGAAAATGTGTTACATTTAGTTGAACTACAAAGAAGTACGTATTCACGAGAGTCGTTTACAATGCTCAGATGCTTCGAAACGTGATCGTTTGTGTTATCGAGTGATCGATTTAGAACCTGAGCAAGAATACGGGATTCAGGCATCCGCTCATACCGAGAACGGTGCTTGGGGAGAATGGAGTGAATCCATTGAAGCTCGAACACATGAACAAAGTTAGAATTAATACTAACTTGCAGCCAATATTTAATTTTATCAACAGTTGTTTGTGGATGAAAGGAAATGAATATTTATTTAGATATTCCGGTTCTGGAACGTGAACTAGAAATAGTGGAGACCAGACCAAACATGATAACATTACGATGGAGAGGCTTGCAGGAAGATCAAGTTTGTTAAAAAAATAAAAATGTTTTATTTCAGCATGAAAAGCTGAATTTTATTATCCTCAAAGCTATTTTATAATTCGAGAAAAAATAAAGTAAAAATAACTACTCAACGAAGGCATGTAATTTTCAGGCTAAGCATATTGTTGGTTACGTCTTAGAATACAAATCAGAAGATGAGGACTGGAAGGAATACAATGGTGTTACAAAACATCGCAGTCATCAAAATGATTATCGAGTTCAGGTGAAAGGTTTGGAACCATCCACGGAGTATTTCTTCCGTTTGAAAGTTGTTGGTAAGAACGACAAGCGTGGTTCATCAGGACCGGAAGTTAGAGCTATGACAAATTGCGGAAGTGAGTTATAATAGTTCTATTATCTTGTACTGAACCTGATTCTCTTTAGCTTATTTCTCACTGTTAAAATCTTTGCAAATTTAGGGCCTGAAGAACCTCCAACTGATCTCAAATTGTCTTCTGACTTCGAAAATCTAAAACTAACGTGGACAAATCCCGAGGAAGAGTCGTGGAACTGTAACAACGTTGAATACGTTATTGATTTTGTAAATACTACTTCGCGAGGCATAATGACAGTACCATCAGATGCACCGAGTGAACTATCAATACCATCGCTTCCGGGTACTAAGTGGGATATTCGCATGCGTACTCAAACGATTGAAGAAGGTCGAAAACCTTCGTATAGTCCCTGGAGTGATCGCGTAACATTAGTGACTCAAGCACTTCCTGGAGAACTTTTCCTTAAAGTTGAACCCAAAACACCGACTTCAGCAGAAGTAATTTGGGATCTAACTGATCAGGATCAAAAATGGAATTACGGTGTTGATATTAGTTATCGATTGAAACAATTGGGTGGATGTTTAGGGTCACGAGGTAATGATCATGAACCGGTAACAAAGTATAATGTACAAGATAAACAAATTGTGCTTGAAAACCTAAAACCAGGCTCTGAATATGAAGTCATTGTAACTCCACGTCGTCCACCATCGCTACGATCATCAATTAAAACTCCTAAAACAGTTAGGCATTTTAGAACAAAAGCGGATATTCCCTCAGGACCACCAAGACATCTTCGTGGCGAAGGGCGGCAAGACAGCGAAATTTCATTTAAATGGGAGCCACCAGTATGCGAGGAGCAAAACGGTGCAATAACACAATATGAATATGAGGTAACAGGTACTGATGAATGGAATGACGTGACACGTGAAGGTGTAACACCGCGAGTTAATGCCGTGGTAGATCAGCTGAAACCTGGATCAAAGTATAACGTACGTGTACGTGCATATACTAGCGAAGGAGCTGGGCCATGGTCAAAAGTAATTCAGATCAGCACTACTGGCACAGAACTTGGACCACCTCGAGAGCTGACTGCAGTACAGACTAGACCAAAAGATATACAGTTAACTTGGCTCCCTCCGTATCCAGAACGAGCTCCGGTTAATGCTTATAAGCTGAGTTATAGTCCACGTGCAGATGAATCGAAACCTATAGAGATGGAAGTCTCTGCTGAGGAGCTGACCTGTAAGGGATACAGAAGTCCTTTGATTACTAGTGACAATCTATGTACAACTGTGAAGTCACTGCAACCAGATACTACTTATCGTTTTGCTGTTCAGGTATACAAACTTAATCTTAAATCATCTTTGATTTTGGCATATGTTATAGACGAAATATTTCATGTAATTTATAATTTTTGTTAAACTACTATTGTTCTCGTAAGATTTTTTCCATCTCAAGTTTTATGTTAAAACATTTTATCTTCTCAGCGAGATTCACTTTGTAATCACCGATTGATTTTTCTCTTGCAAACTTATGAATTATTGAAATAACTTTGGATGATTTTCAGGGTCAGTCAGCTAGTGGTGTTTGGGGCGAATGGTCACCATCTTACTTTGCAACCACGAGTTTTACTGAAGATGAAGCAATTCCCGGAAAGTTGAGACTAGTATCAGCAGGGCATGACAATTTACGCGTAAATTGGACGGCACCACCAACTGTTAGAAATAGTGTCGATCGTTATCTGGTATCGTTTAGCTTGAACAAATTTTGTTACTTCATGATCCATTTTTATTACCACTCACAGCTTTTAATCTCTTGATTAAGCCATTCTTACAGTGCTTTAAGATTTTTAACTTTATGATATTAAAGAATTATTTCAGGTGAACATATCATCAGTTAGTGCTTTCGGCGAACATCCCAGACAGTTTCTTGTGCACAGTGGACAGAACGATTTTCATTTTCGAAATTTAGAGTCTGCAAGCCACTATAATATTACCGTGCAAGGTTTATCTCAGGGAAAGCGAATTTGGCATATATCAGAGGTTTTCTCAACCACTGACTACGGTATTTACTTTCAGTTACTATATTTTAAAGTTTGTTCTTGCATGATAAATGAGTCTCGAGATGCTCACTGTGAGCTTAACAAGTGCTGTATTTTTTGAGAGGTAAAACTTGATCTGTTTGAATAATATAAGATTTGATAGGAACTGGGCTGCTTTCTTGGTTACCGCCGCCAACAGATTTGAAATTGTTAGAGAAATCAGATCGAATGATGCATGTGGCTTGGAGCCCCCCTGAAATTTTTGATCCAGCTTATAAGGACCTCATCACTCATTACAGAGCTAGTTTTTATCGCTTACTTTATTGATGTCTTTATTTTTCTAAAATTTTTGAAAATTTGTCTTATTTTAATTTATTTTTATTTCCACACATACTGTTGCGGTGTCATTTTTTTTCGTTTGTATTTATACCAGTGACAAATCATTTGTTCACGTAATTTTGATTACTTGTCTACTTCAATACGTTTAATTTTGATAATGAAGCACTTGATGTATTTCTCTCTACACAACATTAATTGCAGGTGACAATAGCTCCATTTGATTCATTCTCAGGCACAACAGGTCGTACACGTAATTACTCGGTATCGTACCCTGGGACATCAATCAAATTTGAAGATTTACGACCAGAAACGATTTACAATATAACCGTGCAAGCTGGCACTACTAGTGGTTACGGTGAAATACTGTGGGGTAGTTATAGTACATTGGCTTCAGGACAGAATCATTTGTTGCGCTTAGTTGACCGTACACCAACATCATTAACTGTTGAATGGGAACCAACATTTTTCAGTGGTGAAAATTATATTGTAAGTTTCCATTTTCTGTTCTTTCATTTCACCTTTGGAAATATTTTATATAACTTTAAACCTAAATTTTCATAAATGTGGTATAAGCGTGCTTTGAGTGTACTCTAGTTTTGTTATAGCTTTCGTGGAAAACATTACATTCTGTGTCTCCGCATGTTCGAACAAATGTGGTCCGATCAGCACAAGTAGATGATGGTATTACACGGTATACAATTGAAGATTTAGATCCTTCAACAGTATACAATGTAAGCTTGCAACCGCGATCTGGTGGTGAAATAATCTCAGGTGCTTATGCTACACTGCCTCCTGGATGGTTTATGGTTCGGAATTTGGTGTGGTGTGATAAAACGAACTATGCTCTATCACTCACTTGGGAACCAGTAGAGTTGCATAAAGCATCACATTATCAGGTTCGGTACCTGAGACTTAAGGAGCACGATGCAATCTGGACAGAAGAAAATGAAGTTCGAGCAGTTGAGCTGCTCTGTCCTAAAGATGGATGCAATCGTCACTGTTATTTAGTCTTCAACATGGAGTACAATCCAAACGAGTATGTCTTCCAAGTCCGAGCTAAGGTAAACCATTCGTCTTTTTTTGTAATTTATCCTTTATTAATTTTTAATTACTAATCTCTCTATTGTAATGCATATTCATATATGGTCACTTACTGTTATCTGAATTATTTTAAAACGGTTTTAATCAACGCAATTAGCAAGTGAGAGCACTGGTCAAGATATTTTATGAATTGATTTCATTGTGAATGATAAAAGAGCTAAAAATTAAATGGTGGTGTTGCACTTACTGAGCTTACTTTTGAGTAGTATTAGAAAAGATTTCAGGTGAATAATCAGTGGAATCGATGGAGAACTGTGGGCAAGCCTAGTGTTCTCGAAAAATCTGAGAGGAAGAAAGCTTGTTGCATTGTACCTCCGCCATATATGGTAACAAATATCGGTGCAGCAGGAACTTACTGGGAGGTTGATATTGCACCAGTGGAATCTCAGCCACAAAACATTTCGTTTGTTTTCTGTCAACTTTGCATCAGCTTATTTACTAAAAAAGTATTAAGCATTGGCTATGTCATCATAACTAAATGGCATTAGTGATGTTTTAAGTAGAGCAAACTATAGCACTTTTGATTGACATTTTTGTTAAAAGCATATTGTTCTGTAGTGACAGTAGTGCCCTTAATTTATAAGTTTTGGTACACAGTAATAATTTATTGAAATGCACCTTTGCTTCCTAACGAAATTCACTTTTAGTCGAGCGTTTCTAGAGAAACTATAGAAAAGTAATTCATTTTCTACCATTCAGTATTTCATCAATTCAGACGTTATTATGTTGTGGTTGACGAACGCGAACCAGCGGGAAGTACTAATTGGACTGAATTGACGGATAAAGTTACCGCAAACAAACTAAAGATTCCGTATTATGTTGGAGCATCATTCAATGCTGATACGTTGCCAGGGCCACGTAAAGTACGTATTGGTGATGGCACAGTGATTGGTGGATACTTAAATTATCCTTTGGTCAAAGGCAAGAAATATAACTATGAAATATACTCTGTCTGGGAGTTGAATGGTAAACCGGCTGCTGTAGCACGCCAACGAGGTTAGTTCATTTGCATATTGACCTTGAGTTCAATCATTTATTTAACAATATCACATTAAAGAATTTCTTTTTAAAATCAATTTTATTAATGTTCATTAAATATTCGGTAAGTAACATTTAGCTTGCATTACTTTATCAATTTTTGCTCTTCTGAAAGGGAAATATTTTAGCTTGCTAGTAATATATATTCAAGGTTTTGCTTTCTCAGTTTAAAACCTTAAGTTTGAAGTTTTGTAATTTTTTAATCTGAAATTAAGCATCGGGGAAGAGCCATCCTTTGAATTTATTGGATAAATTACAAGGTAGGTGGTAATATGAAGTATCCCTAATAGTTTCAAATTTAAAATTGACTTTGTGGGATCGTAAAATGTGGTCATTTTTTTCGAATTATACTAGAAAGAGCTTTTTATTTTTTGAACTGACGGGAAATTTGGCTGTAAATAATAGAAGTTGACTATGTCATTAATATTAATCATTGTTTCCTACTTTTTGAATCGTACAAGAATAATGCTCATAATATTTGTACATAAGTATTCACTTCCATCTTACTATTTTGACCTTCGAGAAAGAAAATGTTGTTGAGTTCTATCAAATCTTACATCTGTAAATCAGACATATATATTAACGTGACAGAATTTAGCAGTGAAGTTTTCTTTCTAAAATTACATCATAATTTTGAGTCTGATGCAAGTTTACAACGGGAATGAATGAATTCAGGGTGATGATAAAATGGATGTATCGCATCCAAAGCACAATATCAATTCTCTTTAAATTATCATTACAGCTGATAAAGTTGTTCATAACAACTAAATTATATGAATTTTTAAGAATACAAACAGAATTATCAGAAGTACGATCGATTTTGCATTAGTAATTGTGAAAAATTAAATCAAGTTAAACGATATTTAACTACACGTGTTTTTTCTTGAATCAACTAAACTATCAATCGATCTTGTGCTTATTTGATCATAATTATCATAATCTTCGCAATCAGTGATGATCTCACTGATTTATTATACATGACTTAGAAGACTGCATAATAAGACTGAAGTGATGGAAAATCAAAATTATTCATTCCAATAATTATCATTTTTTAAGAACTGAAAAAAGCAATTAACTTTTGCATACTTTTGCAAATGAAATTGGTTCCATATGGATTGTTCTGATTGCAATCATTACTGAAGGACGTAATTTTTTTTCATTTTTTTGCTGTAATTTGAATTTTTAGCAGATAGACTAATTGGTATTCCATTAGCACTTAATGCAAAATAAGTAAACGTACAAATGGAAACTACGTAAACGAGTTTGTGATTGTAGTTTAGATTAAAAATGAGTTCATGGAAGCATTGTAAAACGAATATAATCCTTATACTACCTATTTTAAAGGTAAAAAGAGCATTGAGGTTGGCAGAATGATGCGATCTAATTATGTATTATCGTCGTGATAATCGTTTTCCTTGTCATATACACATAATGAGTACAGTATTGTTATCTTTGCAAATATAAAAATGCTTTTTTATTACGATGGATAACAATTGCGATGAGCTTTGCATAAAAAATCAAAAGTTACACTTACGTGTGTTAACCTACTTTACGTTCAAATTCAATATGATTATGTATGAAAATAACGTTTACAAGTTTTCATTCTCATGAGTAATTATTATAAAAATGATACATTTGTAGAGCAATTGCATCAAATTAATTCTTCTTGTGTTATTTATTCTTGCATAAAATAATTGTTATAATCAGCGATACTCTAAAGTAGTCATTATAATCAGTGATAATTAATTACAAGTATCAATCAATTTCTTTGTGCATTTTCACTCTAATCGAAAACATTCTCATCTTCTTACTCTCTCTTACGAATTAATTCCATGATAATCATAATATCTTAACTTCCGGTAGTGAATCCGCATTCTACTACACTTACATCGTCTTCTATCGATAGATATATTAGATAGAAACTGTGAGAAACGTCTGCACTGTCTCTTGTCAGTAAGTAATTCCAGTTATTACTCCTACTTTCCGACATGATTCTGTTTTCATCTTTCAATGAGTAAAACCTCTAGAAGTGAATATTTTGAATTTATTAAAAGTTTTGTTAAATTAAGAATAGACCATTGAGTAGCTTAAAGAGTCACTAAAAACAAGCAATTTTTGACAAGCACTGATTCACTTTCATAGCACTTTCCTGGGTTGAATGATGATTTACTCACTGGAACTGCAGTGGAATGTGGTTCCCCCAGTGTCACTCGCCCTTCCCCCAGACATATGGTGTGTTCGAGGGAACGCCAATTGTACTACCTGTCGCGGTACACAAGACAGCGACCGGTCTTCCTTTCTCTCCTCCTCCATTGCAACCACTTCATTTCTGTTTTCACATATTCTGATTCTCAGCTACTTCTGCTTTCACAACAAATTTTTTCAATCACATGGCTCTATGGCCTGACGGTATGCTTTTTGTCTATCGTTTTTTAATCTTTAATGAAACAAACAGTACTCATTTCAGTTCTAGCATTTCTTAGCAGTCAATTTGCGTAAATAAGTGCAGAGTTCAGATAAGAACAGATCAGAACAAATTTGATCTGCCCTTACTTAGTGATTATTTGAGCAGCGGCAAATAAAGAAGGCAAATTTTGTGCATGAGATTTCTTAGTGAAATAAATGTCACACATTAGCATTTGATGTGGTCACATTATTTCATTAGCTTTCCCATCATTATATTTCATTGTTTCATATTCGTGACTTACTTCGTTCTACTCATCAGTTACTTATCACAGCCTCATCAATCTTACAAACAGCAATATCTAAAATTGAAATAGAGTGTAAATATCGCACAGCTATTATTAACGTATCTCTCATGTACCGTCTCGAATTAGGCGTAAAGAGATGAGCTGAACTTTTCCAGTCAATAATAACTGTATTTTACGTGGTATGATTTAGTCATTTCTAGAAAATTTTACCAGAAAAAAATTTTAAAATAGAAAGCCATTAATTATTGACTGCAGCTTAGAGTAATAAGAACAAGACTAAAGTTAATTTAAATAATTAAAATAATTACTGCAAGAAATGGCTCGAAATGTATGGATGTTATGCTGTACTTTGTTGAAGCACTCAAACTTAAGATTTCAAGTCTTGAAGTAATCATACACATATCATTCTTTTACGTCATTATATTCCATTGCAAAGAAATTATGGCGTTGTATTTATCATAAAAAGTATTTACTCTAATCATTTTCTGTCACTGTATGCTACAGACTTCATATTACATGAAAAAAGTAGTCACTAAGTTTAAAAATTTCTTCCTATTGAGGTTTGGAATTTTGCAAAATGAATCCTGTATTTAAAATATTCGGCAATAGCTCTCATTCTATGAGATAAAATTTATTTATTCTTGAGTGTTATCAGTAGAATGAATTAAGTCATAGCAAACAAATGCATAACATTTAATATGAACTAGTTGCTTCTCTTTGGATTGCAGAAGCCAAGCCATGGTGGTCCTGGTTGCACATACAGTGGTACCACGTGGTACCATTTCTGATCATCTTGCCATATTTTATTTGCCTGATTTGTTTTTGGAAACGATTTAAGTGAGTTCAGTCTGATCTATTCTAGCATGATATTTTCTAAAACTTAATGCTTTCTTTCCCACAAATTTAGATTCTTTCAAATGAGTACTTATCTATTATCATCTCTACCGTCTTCTTTCATGCAGCTGTTTCTTGTAGTAATAGATTTCATTTACCTTTCACAAAGTTTACAAAATTGTGTGGTAGAATGCATGGATTATCCCTTATTGTGTGTATATGCTTCAATCTTTGTGATAATGACAATTTTTAACATTCTGATTTCTTTTTGTTCCTTTCCTTCATTACCAACTTGATCAGTCAGATTTATGACTGATCTGATGCGATGTTTCATTCACATTTGGTAATAATTTTCGATATCAGTTACATCTTACATTGAAAAAATACTTACTTTTTGTTGAAAATTGCAGAATTATTATGAAAGTTATAGCTTGAAATCGGTCAAATTGCAAAGTTTCAGCAAGTCCATACGCGATTTCTGGATGGCCTTGGTGGTGGCTGCTACTTTTGCTTCTTCTCCTACTTCTGCTAATTCTCCTTACATGTTGCCTTCTTTGGTGTTTGCAAGGGTAATTTTCTTCTTCAAACTCAAACTTTAATCTTATCCCTTTAATTACTAAAATAACTAATCACCTAGAATGTAATTAAAAACGGTTCATGAATTAATCTATTAATTTGCTCACAAAATCCAAAATGAATTTGGCAAAAATAATTTTTAACATCATTAAGATATCACAAATGCAAAGATTTGAATAATTTTTATACAAAAATATTCTTTAGGGTATTAAAACTGAAAATTCTAGTGTATATTCTATTAATCATTTAAGTAATAAAATTCCATTTGGTGAAAACAAATTTTGACTGCAATAATTATTAAAGAAAATTTGAAAATAAATTTGTTACTTTTGATACTTACTTGAAAAAAGCGTAATCAGATCAAAAAAATTAGAGCAAAAAATGGAAATATTTTAATTTTTCTGCATTTTCTTTTCTTCTAATCACAGTGTTTATTACTTTGTTAAAAAATTTTGGTATTATATTGGCCATAATTTTTTGATAGAACGCAAAATACATTCAGCGATAAAAATGAGGTTGCAGAATCAAATTTGAATTCACTCTATCATTTTTGAATTTTGGTCACAAACTGCTTGATGAAAAAAAGAATTAAAAAAGCATTGACAGAATGCATTTTACTTCCAATTTCATCTTTGTTGAAAGATTAAAATCAGTACTGAAATTATTTCCTGTCAGACTGCACAATGAAATGATTTTTATTAAAAAATACCTTTTTTAATGCAAAAGCAAATAACAATCCTTTGGGAAAAAATTTGTACTGAAATAATTAAAACAGAAATTTGAATTTATTATCGCTTTTTAATCAAATACTATCTAATTATTTATATTTATTTGTGCACTAACTGCAAGCATTTACATTCCATTTTATTAATCACAAAAATAGTTATTTCGCCTTTATTAAAGTATAAATAATTTGAAAATATGCTAATAAAATTAATGAAAGTTTTGTTTTGTTTTTTACTACAATTCAAATTTTTCAAGAATATCCATAATTTTTTTGGCACGAAAAATTATCAGAATTTAAAACATAAAAATAAAACAGTCAAAGGCAATAACATTTTTCCTGACTAACAACAATAAAATATTCGCCTGAAATAATTGACCTTTTATTTGTTACTATTTGATTACTTTATCTTTCTTAACTACAAAATTTCTTTATTACAATTAATTAGACTTTGAATAATAAGTGACTAATTTTAGACGTTATCGAACACGCAAGGAGCAGCGTCGAGTTGTTAGCGCAAATGGTCAAACAGTACCCTTACTTGCCACGGATGTTAGCTTCTGTTTTATATTAGTAATTACAGAAAAATACTCCGAAATAAATAGCGCCAAAATAATATACCGTGCTGTAGAATAGTTTTGTTTTGAAAGTACTAAAAAAGATTTGTTTGAAACAATAGGAAATAACATGCGAGTAAAATTAATCACATATTCTTACAAGTCGGGCTTTATAATAAAATAACCAATTATAATCATAAATAAAGCTTTCGTTCTTAATTGAGAATTTTTTGAAAAAATTTCAAGTTTTAATTTTTGAATTGAGAAAATAAAATTTAATTATTCATTTAAAAACTAATAATTTGAAAATTAATGGAATTCCGCTCACTGTTATATATTATTACATTTGAAATACAACTACAATAATTTTTTAGACTATTTTAATTTAGATCTGTAGAACAGTCTTCAGCCAAACTACTCTTGTAAGATCAAATACTTTAGTCAATTGTACTCTCAAAGATATATAGTTTCTTCTCAAGGAATTTCTAGAAATACATTGCATCCAATTTTTATGCTTATAAAATCACCGGAATTTTCGCTGCTACCTTTGTCATTTCATGACGCTCAATAAGATCATCAAGTTAGTATCAAGCAAATCCCTCAATCTTAGGAGTTTGAACACTAATTATTTTAGTCAGAAAAAAATGGAATGGAACAAAATATCCAAACGCTTTCTTCACGTGTAGAAGATATTCGTTCTTCACTGGATCAAAAGGCTACAGGTATTAGATGTTAGCGGATAAAATTTGTCAACCCTACTTTTGATGAATGGTTCTTGATACTGAATTTTAAAGCACGTGGAGATTTCGAAGATGGTTATGTGCGTGGTTTTCGTGATGCAAACAAACTTGGTACTGCTTCTGCAGCACGTCGAAGGATGGATGATGATTATGCCACTCGTGATGATCGATTCCACGAAGGATATGTGAAAGGATTAAGGTAAGGTAGTATTATGTTCTTGTTATCCACAAACGTGGTACGTTCAAATAATTGTATGACTATGATAAGAATGTATATGATAAGAAAGTTGAAGATGAGTTATTTTTGCTCGTAACTTCTGAATTCGTTGATTAAAATGGATTGCGACCAAAAATTTACTTCTTTGCTGAAAATTTACGATTTTTTATCACTACTATTATTGCTAAAAATAAGAAATATATATTTATCTCATATATGTAATAAGTAGGCGTATTGTGTTTTTACGCTGGATGTAGTTTTAAAATATATTGCGTTGAGAAAGATTCTTGCAAAGCTTTTGATTAGATTTACTTTAATTGCGTTGCAGAGATGCTGGAATGACGGGAATGAGTACATCAATGCATAATTTGGCACAACGAGGCCAAGGCGCAGGATATTCATCTGGATATATGCAAGGTTTCCGAGACGGTAATTCTGGCATTTTTGGTGACCGAATAACAGGCAGTCTCTTGCGAAGATTGGAGGAGCAGTACCCGAATCAAGAAGAATTTCGTACTGGTTACATCGATGGATTTAAAGAAGGAGCTGGAAGTCGAAGTTCTGAGCGCAAGGTAAACCTTGCATACTTGCAAAGCATTTTGTTTCAGCGATTTTATTATTTATAATGTCCTTCAATTTTTTTTCCCCTTCATGCCATATTTAACTAGGGAAATTGGTTTTTTTTTTTGCTATAAATTATTACTTTCAGTGAATTTTCTTCAGTTCCACGGGGAAATTTTCAGAGTTTTGAAGAGTCACGGCGTTTACAAGAAAGTCTGACAAAACTTACTGAAATATTACAAGATAAGTCAAAAAGTGCTGGCGATGAAATACATACTACAAAAATTTATCACGTTTGTAAGTTATTTTTTGCTTTTGAACTGAAATAACTATGCTTTTCATAAATTTCACAAGTTTAAACAAACCTAATCTGCTTGTTAGTTGATTGATAGGAAGTTCAAATTTATCAATTTGATAAAGTTGTCTTTTATCAATACAATGAATTCACAAATTATATTAATACAACAGCTCAAAATTATATGATTACTAATAAAATATGTTTAAAATTCCCGAATACTGAATATTTCAGACAATCAACAACCGGACAGTCTGGTAGTTTCAGGATATTCTACAACAGGCCGTCAGTTGGAGCAAGAGCTAGAGGAGCTTACATCCTCTTCAAGAAGATCTACTCTTAGAAGACATTACACGGTATAATTTTCATCAGATTAGTGCTTAATATCTTCCAAGCAATCTTTTTTATAATTTTCTCATAGACTGAAAAGTTTTTATATTAGTTTTTGATTTTTAGATTAATTTTCAAACAAAACTCTCATCGTAAATCAGTTCAAAGAATTTTCGTAAATATTTGTCATATTTTAGTTTTTAATTTGAAATTAATATCATTTATTTAGCCTGGAGATTATTTGAAGTACGGAAGTGATGCAGAAGCTTATGGAAGCTTAGCAAGAAATCGACGTTCCTTGTCGGCATCGGCTCTTGGCCGAGAATCAGCCAGAGGTTACATTGTTATGAACTTTCAACTGATAGCTTAAATTTCCTTTTTTTGAATCAGTAAATTCAAGTAAAAATTAACTAATATTGTAAGATTGTTCATGTTTTTAACATGTGTTTATTCCAGGAGTTTTGGATGGTAAATGTATAGCAAATTGTTAAAAAATATGATTTTTTAAATTTATTTTAGCATTAATTTTATGAAGCATTTTTATAATCGTAATGTCAGCAATAACACGAGAGAAGGTTGAATAAGTTGGATTATTACACTCATACTGTCATTGTTTTGTTTTTGCGTACTACTTTTTTATGGGAAAGAACTATTCTGATATTTTAGAAGAGCAAAACTTTTATATTAACAATGTTATGATCTAAAAAATTCTACTCCACTTATCATTTTTCATCGACTAACGTCATTCTTACTTTGCCAACATAATTTTCTCATTGATTAGTGTATTGGAATCGTAATTTTACAAGTAATATTAGCAAAAATTATCTGGAAAGAAGTGTTAGTGATGTGGATAATGATAGTTATGCTAATTAGAAAGTATGAAACTATCAAAGTATTCAGCTAGCAAAGATTTTATCAGTTTCATTACCAATTCAAATGCAAGCATTACGTTGGACCAAAGTTTGGTTTGATTCTAATCATCTTTATGCTTTCAAAATTGCGTATTGCGTGAAGGAAACAAATATCTTGCGCGAATTTGTATTGTATACAGATGCGCTGCTGTGTGCACTACTGCTGTTGTTTTTCGATTGCCCTAAACGCTTTATTTGCTTTATTTTCTATTCTGAATTTCATTAATCATTTTTTGCTTTTTATAATGTGTGGTGTGCTTTTTAGTTTTATTTAATTTCTTGGTTAGCTATTTTTGGTTTGTTTACAGAGCAGGCGGAACGTGCTCGTCTTTATTCTGGTACTGGTACGTCATATATTAGTCGCGCGTCAGCAGCCGAACGACCTATAACAGATACATATTCACGTCGTTACGCGTATCGTAGTCGTAGTGATATGGGTGGTAGTCCACGTCGTTATGCATCACATACAATACTGGACGGAGCTCGTCCAGGACCATCTACGCCACACGCACGTCGCAATGCATTGCACACATTGCAGCGTGAACTTGACACTCTTTCCAGGTCGCCAGACCGCTTGACACCACGTGGATATAGTTCTGACACAGGCTATATGAACGATACCATGCGATCACGCACACGTGCATATTCAAATTATGATTACGGTTAGCATGCCCACTGTTGCACATATTTTTCTATTTTCCCATTAACTACACCTAATTTTTAAGTATCTCACCATAAGTTGCTCTCTTAAATTCGGAATTTTTCTTGTATCAGAATTAATTTCTGGCAAGAGTTCCACAATTTATTCAGATAGATACAGTACAGCACTAATTTGTATTTCAATGCAGTTGTAGTGAGCAGCATTCCTATTTTTTTAAATCACTGTTTGAATTTTAAAGAAGTAGGACACATTGTAGCTTCACTTCATCCGAAAGTAAGTGTTTTACCGCCACTATTTGATTTTTTTGAATTCACGAGAGTATTCTGTTAAGGAGCACAATAGTAATCTCATCACCTCGTTAATTAATTGTGTTTCGCTTTTTTCCCCAAATTTTAATCGAAATTTTGCTCATATTTTCGGGATGAACTGCTTGAAAAGTTCAGTTCCCACGTGTGATCACGACTGATGCCTATAAGCTTCCATATTTGTTATCCATCCATTAATTTTCCCTTCACCAAAATTTACAAGGAATTTAGTAAGGAATAGCATTTTGTGTAGAAGAAGTGTAGCCAATTCATCCTTCGTATTTCATCGCAATATGAAAAATACTGAAATGCAGAATTCGAATTTAATTTTATAGCTGAAAGATTTCAGAGAAAATTTAGAAAAAAAATTATTCAGATACATATCAAACGTCTAAAAGTGAAGTGAGAAGTACGGCAGCATCAGGTGCAGATGGTGTGAATACGTCAGCAGGTGCTAACGCGAGGTATCTTGGAAGCGTTCCAGCGAGAGCTACCACTTCTACGTCATATCATCGTAGAGGTTATTTATCTTCTATAAACTCATCTTCTAAGCTCAATAAATGAAAATTAATTGACTAAAAAATTTTACAGAGTTCTGTTGACAAGCGTTTGAATAATTTATGATATTTAGAGTTGAATGAAAAATGTGTGTCTGTGGAAGTGTTGTTGTGAATCAGTACCTAACTTATGCGTGCTGTGTGAGTAATACTTATTTTATAGCTTAAGTAAGCATTGCTGGCATTTCTGAAAGCTACTTGGAATGAAGCAATAAATCTTTTGCTTTTCTTATCATTTCATCGCTTTAAACACTTGCAATGCTGCAAACATTTTTGTTATATTCTTTTGCAGTTTTTATTGCTACAAATTTATTTGTCAAAACAATAGAATAAATGACGATCGATAAAGCTTAATTTTGTATTCAAATGAACATTGTATTGATTTATAAGTAATGACAAACTTTTCCAATTTTTTAAGTAATTAGATTTTTTTTACGAATTAAGATTAACTTTCTGAATTTCCAAGTAATGTCAGCGTGATTGCAACATGCCTACTTTCAGTATTTTGCTTGATATAACCAAAATTTGATAAAGAACGCCACTATTTTATACTTGTGTAGCACATTCTGCAGTGGAAGAAGCATAACAAAATTTGCAGAAAATGAACGAGCAACAATGACGTCTTCCGGTGCTGCTGGAAGAACAACTTCTGGCACTTCGGGATCACATAATTGGCCTGATGATTTGATCGACATCGTTAATGAACCGATGGGGCAAACTCTTGATCGCATGAAGAAATATTCTAATTCATTATCTCACGTTGATCGAGGTACGAAAGGCTAAAGTATAGCTGCAAATATATCTATGCAAAATTTTTGGCTTCTTAATTTTAGAGCATAAAAAATATTCTCATTACTTAATCATTAATAATCAATGGTGCTTCCTTATAAACGAAAAGTTTTGCTGCACAAATAATTATTTTATTATTTTCTTTGATGCAAATGAATATTTTGTGTTTTTTTTAATTACTGTATGGATTCAGCACATTTTTGAAGCACTATCATATGTTAAGTGTGACTTATTGGCTTGCTGTAATATGAGCTTGTGTTTCCATCCAATAACTCTACTTATTTTATTCTCTCTCCATTTTTTATTCTTAAAATGTAGCAAATATAGTATTACTCTAGTAGCGTAAAACTTTTCACCAAACTTTGTTGTAGTGTTCGTGAAATAGAAGTGTGACTTGCAAAGGAATGGCTTGATTAGATTGATGTTGATCAAGTATGATCGGGAAATCGAAATGATGATCGAGTTTGATCATAAAATTTCTTCATAATATGCCGCTACTAAAATTGTTATCACAAAAATAAATGCTAGTAATATTTAGTGACTTAAATGAATAATTTATTTTCAGTATTTAATAACGGAAAGTTTCAGATGGTATGGAAGAAAGCAGCCCATTCCGAGAAACTGTAGAAGAAAGATATCAGCGGTCTTACAAAGAAGTATGTCTTATATTTTGTAGCACTACACAATTAAATTTCTAGTCATTTTTCTAGATTTCTGATATGAGGCATAGATTTTTTCAAAGTATCTTTCTGATCTCTTTTTTATCTCCAATTTTTAAAGTGAGATTCAAAGTAGTTGAAGATAAAGAAGAAAACAAAGATATATTAGTAAATTATATTTGCACAAGCTGTAGGAGCATATTTTTGGACATGGATTTGTTTATGAGTCTTATTTTGTAGAACATACTTAGATATAATATTGTCTTTCATTTTGTTAGTTCATTTGCACCTTTTGAGTACCTTCCATTACTCTAACAGTCTTCAGAATCTTCTCCAAGTTTTGTACATTTCAATGAATTAGCATTTCAGGAGTATACTACAGGAAGACGATAAACTTGTAGCAAATTGAACTTTCAATGAAGGAAGCAAAGAGAAACTGAATTAATACTCACTTTAGTCACTCTATCTGCTCGTATACTCACTTGTCTATTTTAGCAGTGATAAAAATACACTGTTGAATCGTAATTTTTTTCAACGTATGTGTATGGTGCTCGGTTATTTTCAAATTATCTGTCAATGTTTTGTGTTGATTTGCATTTTTTTCACTGCCTAGCATACTTTCTTAATACCATTGCATATTTACACGTGCAGAATTACTCGTATAATACTGCATTTATCATGATTTTTTTATCATCAATTCACTCAGTT